CTGTGAATGTAGATCAACAAAAGTGAGAGCCAGCATATATGAAGCTCTGGGTCCAATTCCCCAGTGCCACAAAACTTAGAAGTGAATAGACTAGAATTAAGTTACAAACTTGCCCTAAGTCCTTTTCCCTTAGTCAGCTGTCTGCATTACCTTTTAAGAGTCCAGAAAGTTCATCAAAGACAACTCTAATGCTTCACTCAGTGAATCTACCCACAAGAATTTAGCTTCCATCATTCCAAAGACTTATACATTATAACTACGAACAAGTCCATTCTCCCCCAACTCTCCCTACAAGCCAGCTGGACAGTCTTACTATCAGCTTCTGCCCTGTGGCTTGTACTGCCCATTCCACTCCTGAGTGCTCAGACAATTTACATTTCTAGCATCAGAAGCACAGATGTCACAGGCTACTTACTATTAAGGAAAACAAGAATGCATCTTACTGATCCCTCTTTCCTTTGCTTTCAATTCCATATAACCATCTCCAACTTCAGCCATGAATAGAAATATCTGACTTATGATTATTTTCATTTTTCAATTATGTAAATTCTCTGAACCCTCAATTCTTTTACTTCAATCTTCAACTTTATTTCCTCCAAACTACCTATTCATATCATTTCTCTAATGTCTGCAGCTTAAAGAAATTAGCTATCTTGAAAGAAAACTTCAGCAGCGTACTCACTTACCTTTCCACTGTCTTCATCATTCCACATCTATGAAGTTTAAACTTTACATAACTGCTGATCCTAACTATGGCTGACAAGCAAGACCCTTTTGTAAATCATGTCTCTCTTACAATGATATCCATCCTCACTTTGGCAAAAATTATATAAAACTACATATACTTCCAACAAACAGAGTTCTCATGTTTCTAAAGTTCACTATAATAAAACTGTAAAAAAAAAAAAAATCTAGGCATCTGGAGCCCATTTGGTACCTGGAATAAATGACAGGGCAAAAAGCCACACATATTGCCGATGTTTTGCAAGCCTTGTTAAGAATACTATGGACCTATGAATACTAAGAAGCTATGAATTTGAGGGTGAGTGGCGCCATACAAGACTACTGAGGAATCTGAAATGTGATTCTAAAATTTGGCTGCACACTAGATGCCCCAACTCCCAGAGAAAAATGATAGCAAAAGAAGAAAAATCTAAAATCAGTGACAAAGCTATATAATATGATTATATGTTTTATAAAGGCACGGATTTATAAAGGTCAAATACCCATTTCAGAATGGTGACCATCCTCACCATCCTCTAGGGTGGGAAAGGATGCAACTGAGAAAAGATATACAGAGAGGGTTTCAAATATGTTCAGAATATTTTCTTTCTAAAGCTGGGTGTTGATTAAATTAAATTAGTTCTCATTATGTTTTGGATGCTTAGAATTTTGTAATTTAAAAAAAGCAAAAAGAATATAGCACATAATCAAATAAGTATCACATTAGGCATCCTGAAAAATATCTCAGGGTGAAGAGAAGCACTGAGAGAAGAAACTTCATGATGCAGGCTTTGAAGAAACAATAAAATAGACTATATGATGCAGGCTTTGAAGAAAGAACAAAACAGACCACAGAAAAAAATGATAATGCTAATGATAATAACAAAACTCTCTCTTTTCTTTTTTATTTTATTCATTTCTTTGTATGTTTCTTTGTTTGTTTTGAGATAATATCTTACTTTACAGTCCTGGCTAGCCTAGGCTGGCCTCAAATGTATAGTGACCTTCCCCTCTCAGTCTACGTACTAGGCTTACAGACATGCATCACCAACTTTTCTAAATAACACAACTTTTCTAAATGACACAAACTTTTCTAAATAAACAGCATAGATCAAAGCAAAACTGGAGTACCCATGTCCTACAGCCCGAATAAAGGCAAGCTTTAGGCCAGATTCACCTTGTCAAATAGTAACAGAACGAGCTGGGGAGGAGACCACAAATTAAGACTAAGTGACAGAACCATTGGATCATGTATTGCTAATGGAGAGGAAAAGGCATAACTGGAATTAGGTTTTAGCAAAATAAACTGGAAGCTACATGCAGGACAAATGAAAGCAAACTGTGTTCTAGTGCTGGCTCTGCAAGACAGCAAAGAGAAAGGGTCTAGTAGCCAGGCCCCAGGCCCTGACACTGCCCTTCAGCTGTTAAAGTGTTTCCACTGTTAAACAACTTTCGAAAATTCTAATATAAAAGTGCCCATTAAGGAGGCACTGCTGCAATTCAAGAGTGTTATGTCAGCATCACCTTAAATGAGAAGAGAAGAGAAAATGAATCCACAAACTTGTTAAGGAAAAATTTGGTAGGACCTAATGGCAAACTGGATGAAAAAATCAAAATGTCAACTAATCAAACAGCAGCAACTAATCAAATGGGCTCGAACAACAGAAACCCAGATCTACCATGAAAATGTATCTGAATGTTAAGGTAGTGCTACTCCAGGCAAAAATAAAAATTAAAAACAACAACAAAAAAAAAAAAAATCATGGCATTCTTACTGAGCTTAAGAAACAGTGAGCGGAGGAATCCAGAAGGCTGTAGAAAAGATGATTACTACACTACACGTATACGCCTAAAAGGCACCACTCTACATAATAAACACACCCCCTTTGCCACACAATCAGACTAGAGATTCTGGAACTCTTACTGAGTTCATTTATGAGTAAAACACAAGCTGGCAACAACACAGCACTGAACATACCAGGAAGCGCTTTACTAAGTGCATTAGCTGAGCCCATTTAACTCCCATTGATACATTTTACAGATGAAGACATTTAACCTTAGAACTACCATAGGGAGTGGTAGGGCCAGTACTATTTCTCAAAGTGACTACCTAAAGGTTATGCACCAATCACATCACATAACAATGTTGCCATCAGCAACAGATCATGCATGAGGGTGCATGAGTCTTCTACATAGCTTTATACAAGTACACAGTTACTTGCACAACAAATTCACCTAATGAGTCTCTGAGGAAAGAAGCTCCAACATCAAGGCACGATGGGTAAACAACACAATTTCAAAAATGGTAGCTATGCCTTATTATTAGACAGCAAAGATCAAAAGAGTAACACAGAAATTCACTGTAACTCAGAAGCTTCCATTTAGCAAACTTGTAGTATCTTCACCTGTAAAATAAGACTCTTTTCTGTAATTCAATCTATTCCACAGTGTTGCTGTAAGGATGAATATTTGAATTTGAAAGTGCTATGAAAAAAGACTGAGATATTAAGACACAAAAGACTAGCATCTCATATCTTTTGCTTTTTAGAAATGTCTTCTTGGTGGGACAGCAAGATAATTCACCAAGTAGAGGCACTGGCCACCAAGCTAGATCACCTGAGCTTAAGCCCCAGAACCCACATGGTGAAAGGAGAGAAACAACTCCTGAAAATTGTCCTGACTTCCACACCTGCCACAGCATGGCCCTACAGTTGCACAGTTGCTTACACACACACACACAATTTTTTAAATGCCTTCCTAAGCAGGAACTATATATATATCCTAGTCCCAACTATCTCTAAGTCAAAGGCAGAAGAAGCTCTTAAACCCAGGAATTCAAGGCCAAACTGTGTAACACAGAAAGGGAAAAAGCAAAAGAGCTAGAAGTATTTGCATATCTGGATTAAAGTGAGTCTCTAAAGAAACTTAAAGTAAAAAATTCGTCTGTTTTATGTGCAACTACTGCTTTGTAAAGTTATAAGTCATGGAATTATCACCCAGAGCTTCTGATTGTCCGGGTTCACTGAAGTCAAATGCAGCTTTTTTCTTATACTGAAACTTGTAATTTATAGTACAACCAATCAATAAAGAGCTTCTATTTCAATTCAGTTGTTCTAGTTGGCCTATGTCATGATCCCTTATTGCCCTTCCTAAGCAGAAAGAAAAAAAAATATTTCAGGTTTTCTTCTGTTACTGAGGGGTGGGGAATATTCAGTGAATATTAGACAACAGACACCAATGACATGCTAGAAAGTCTATCAGCTGATTTGTTTCCTGTGCTCAGGACAGTCTGTCTCTTCTGGAAACCTGTCAACAAGCTCCCTTTTTTGCACCTGAACAGATAGTTTCCAGGCCCTAATTCACAATTCACAGATGTTCTCAAAGTACCTGCCTTTTTAATGCTCCCACCCCACAGGTGTAACACTTTACATCTCCAGAGCTCCAGCCAGCACGGCACATGAGGGCACTGATCTTTACTACACTACTCTCTTGAAGAGAGTTCTGAAAATTCAAAATGAAAGAGCGGTTAAATGTTTTACCCAGCGTCAGACTACTAGTTTATTCATTATTGGGCAGAGGGGGTGCACACTATTAAGTTTTATCAATGGACATGTATTTAGCTTCATTGAAATTATTATTCCAAACTACAGTACACATATGTAACACATCTGCATCCATATGTCCAAGATTAAACATAAACACTACACAGCATACCAAAGTACCACTAGTTTTACATGCATAACTATATGGGGGAGGGAACTTAACATTCCTTCTGTCTAGCACCCATAAATTCTTTAGAATTTGGGGGAGGGAGGAAACACCTGTCACTGCAGCATATCCATAATGTTTTACATTCTGCGTGGCTATTAATAAACTTAATTCCTTAAACAGTAAATAAGCAATCTGCCTTCTCAAAGTGAATGGTTATTATATTATGAAGAACACTTGATCAAAGAGAGAGAGAGGCGTGCACTGATGTCCTTCCTCATCTCCAGGCTTCGTGGTATGACACTCAAACTCTCCCAGCCCATGACCGCAGGGGTGGCAACCGCTGACCACTCAACTTGCGTCGCGCCAGGCCTCGCACGACGTCGGCTCGGAGTGTCGGGCGTCCAGTCGGGGACCGGCCTCACGGAAGGACGCGGCCGGCCGGTGGGCGCCTGGGCCGGGCTCCGGTCCGCGCCCGGCAGGCGGGGACAGGGTCGCGGCCGGCCTGGCCTAGCCGCCCCCGCGCCGCGCCGCGGCTTCCGTCCTCATCCCGCTCCCGCCGTCGTTACCTCTTGGGCGCCGGAGGCTGCTCCATGGCGGCCGGTAGCAGAAAGAGAGGCCGAGTGGACCGTGAAGGCCGTAGGGAGGAAAGGGGCCTGGAAGCCGCGGGCCGAACGCAGGGGACCACACCGGGAAACTCCCGGGAACTCGGACCAACTTTTCCCGTAACTCCGCGGCGGATCTCCCTCCCGCTCCGACGCGGTTCCTCCCTCCAGCCCCGCCCCCGGCCGCGGCCTGGTGCTGCGAGCCGGTGGGAAGAGCCCGGCGCAGCGGAAGGTGGGCGGGGCGCGAGGGGCCGGAGTGAGTGGGCGGGGCCTAGCGCGGCCGGGAAGAGTGGGATGGGCCAGGCTCTGCTGGTACTAGCTGGGAGAAGCTGTGGATTGGAGTGCACAGTTCAGAAAGGAGAAAGGTACTGCTACCAGAGGAGAAATTTTGCCCCTCCAAGAGCTGCTCTGCTGGTGCTGGGGAGCTGGCCCACCTGAGATTTGACTCATTCCTCAAGATTCCTCAAAGATACTTGCCAATCTTCTTGTAAATCTGTTTGAAGTATAACTAACTGCCCACACTTCCCTCTCTAGTCCTGTTTATGATTATTAGTCATAATTATTAGTTATGTTCCCCTAGCCCCCAAGCCATTTGACATTTGTAACTACGGCAGTTAGGGTACTTCTGGAAATTCTGATTGATTTTGATTTTGTACATGCACAATAATTACGGTCTAATGACCGAAAATATTCACTGCTGTGTTCTCTGAGCACCACACTTAGAGCACCTGAGTGTTGCTGGCCGTCCTGTCGGGTAGATAGGACAACTACCACTGGTTGTGGTGCTGGTAAAAGGACACAACAGAAAGTTATTTCCTTCTTTCGTGGGTCCTTGTCCCCAGCCCCTACAACACTAACCCCATTGTAATTTGACCCCTTACACATTAATTTGTCTACTAGTTAACCTTAAAATGCATACACACACACTTTGTCACACCTGTACAAATGGAATTGCTTTAAATTACTGTCCATTTAATTTGATGTTGGCTAAAGGCTTGCTGTATATAATGCCTTTCTTATGTTTGGGTATGAGTCTTGACCCCTGATCTCTCTTAAGACTTTTAAAATGAAGGAGTGTTGGATTTTGTCAAAGGCTTTTGCAGCATCGAATTAGATGATCATGTGGTTTTTTCTTTCAGTTTGTTTAGCTGGTAGATTATGTTGACGGATTACTGTATATTGTACCACCCCTGCATGCATACGATGAAGCCTACTTGGTCATAGTGGATGATGTTTTTGATATGTTCCTGGATTTTGTTTGCAAGTATTTTGATGAGTATTTTTGCATTAATGTTCATATGGAAAATTGACCTGAAATTCCCTGTCTTTTGTTGAGTGTTTGTGTGGTTTTAGGTACCAGGGTGACAGTGGCCTCACAGAATGAGTTTGGCAATGTTCCTTCAGATTTTATTTTGTGGAATAGTTTGAGGGATATTGGTATTAATTGTTCATTAAAAATCTGGTAGAATTTCTATGCTAAAAACATGTAGCCTGGGCTTTTCTGAGATGGGAGACTTTTAATGGCTGCTACTATTTTCTTAGGGTTATAGAACTGTTCAACTGTTTGCCTGGTCTTGATTCAGCTTTGGTAAGTGGAATCTGTCAAGAAAGTTGACCATTTCATTCAGATTTCCCAATTTTGTGGAGTACAGGCTTCTGAAGTAAGACCTAATGATCCTTTGGATTTCTTCAATGACTGTTGTTCTGTCCCTGTTTTCATTTCTGATTTTGTTCATTTGGATTCTGCCTCTCTGCCTTTTAGTTTGACTAAGGGTGTGTTTGACTATCTTGTTGATTTTCTCAAAGAACCAGCTCTTGGTTTCATTGATTCTTTGTATTGTTTTCTTTGTTTCTAATTTATTGATTTCAACCCTGAGTTTATTTCCTGCTATCTACTACTCTTGAGTGAGTTTGCTTTTTTTTTTTTTTTCCTAGAGCTTTCAGGCAAGCCTTTAATTTCTTAGTATGAGATTTCTCCAATTTCTTTATGAAGGCACTTAGTGCCATGAACTTTCTTCTTAGCATAACTTTCATTGTGTCCCATAAGTTTGGGTGTATTGTAGCTTCGTTTTCATGAAATTTTAGAAAGTCTTTAATTTCTTTCTTTATTTCTTCCCTGACCCAATGGTCATTGAGTAGAGAGTTGTTCAGTTTCCAGGAGTGTGTAGACCTTTTGTTATTGTTGTTGAAGTCCAGCTTTAGTCCATGGTGGTCTGATGAAGTACAATGGGTTAATTCAATTTTCTTGTATCATGTGTGGAGCTTAAGTACAGGAAGGAATGCGGGTGCTGGCGCTGTTAATAGTCTCAATGCGCATGCGCAGGTGCCAACAGGCCTGTCGTACTGTCCTTCTGGTATTCAGATCTGTCCGGCCTCCAGGAATTGTTAGCCTGGACTCCAATCCAATAAAAACAATTACACCCACCAAAACACAGGATACAGATAACTTCACAACAAAAAGTTAAAAGAAAACAAGCACTGAAACAGTAACACCACCAACTCCACAATAAAAGGAACTAACATTCATTGGTCACTATTATCTAGCAACATCAATGGACTCAACTCTCCAATAAAAAAACACAGACTAACAGAATGGTTACAGAAACAGGATCCAACATTCTGCTGCATCCAAGAAACACACCTCTGCAACAAAGATAAACACTACCTCAGAGTAAAGGGCTAGAAAAATGTTTTTCATGCAAACAGACACAGAAAAAAAGCTGGGGTAGCAAACCTAATATCTAATAGACTTTCCAAAATTAATCAAAATAGATGAGGAGGGGAGCTTCATTCTCTTCAAAGGAAACCCACCAGGAGGACATCACAATCCTTAACATCTATGACCCAAATACAAGAGCATTGGTAAATGAAACATTATTAAAGTTTAAATCACACATCAATCCCAACACCTTAAGAGTGGGAGACTTCAACACTGTGTTCTCACCAAAGGACAGATCATCTAGACAGAAGCTGAATAGGGAAATAATGACACTTACAGAGGTCTTAAATCAAATGGACCTAATAGATGTCTACAGAACTTTTCACCCAAACTCAAAAGAGTATATACTTTCTTTTCACACCTCATGGAACAAAAATTAACCATATAGTCAGGCACAAAGCAAGCCTCAACAGAAACAAGAAGATCAAAATAATTCCTTGTATCCTATCAGACGACCGTGGCCTAAAACTAGATCTCAACAACAACAGAAATAACAAAAAGCCTACATACACATAGAAAGTAGACAACTCTCTACTCATTGACAGCTTGGTCATGAAAGAAATGAAAAAAGAAATTAAAAACTTCCTAAAATTCAATGAAAATGAAGGCACAACTTACCCAAACTTATGGGACACAATGAAAGCAGTACTAAGAGGAAAGTTCAAAGCACTAAGTGTCTCCAAAAAGAAGTTTGAGACAACTCATACAAGCAACTTAATAGCAAACCTAAAAGCCCTAGAAAAAAAAAAAGCAAGCACACCCAAGAGGAGTAGACAACTGGAAATAATCAAACTCAGAGCTAATATTAATGAATTAGAAAGAAAGAAAACAATTCAAAGAATCAGTGAGACCAAGAGCTGGTTCTATGAGAAAATCAACAAGATAGACAAACCCTTAGCCAAACTAACTAAAAGACAGAAAGAAACTATCCAAATCAACAAAATCAGAAATTAAAAAAGGGAGGGAGGCATAAGGACAGATACAGAAGAAATCCAAACAAACATTAGGTCTTACTACAAAAGCCTATATGCCACAAAATTTGAAAATCTAAATGAAATGGGCAATTTTCTTGATAGATTCCATTTACCAAAATTAAATCAAGATCAGGTAAATAGATTAAATAGTCCTATGTCCCCCAAGGAAATAGACACAGTCATCAAAAGTTTCCCTTAAAAAAAAAAAAAAAAAAAAAAAGCCCTGGGCCAGATGGATTCAGTGCAGAACTCCACCAGTCTTTCAAAGAAGTGCTAACTCCAATTCTCTTCAAACTATTCCACAAAACAAACACATTCTATGAAACCACAGTCACCTTGATACCTAAACCTCACAAAGACCCAACAAAAAAAGAGAACTTCAGACCTATCTCTCTTATGAACAGTGATACAAAAATACTCAAAATACTTGCAAACTGAATCCAGAACACATAAAAGATTTCATCCACCATGACCAAGTAAGCTTTATCCCAGGTGTGAAGGGTTAGTCCATTATATGGGAATCCATCAATGTAATACACTATATAAACAAACTGAAGGAGAAAAACCAATCATCTCCTTAGATGTCAAAAAAGCATTTGACAAAATCAGACACCCATTCATGTTTAAAGCAGAGATCAGGGATACAAGGCACATACCTAAACATAGTAAAGACAACATACAGCAAGCCTATAGTCAATATCAAACTCAATGGAGAGAAATTTAAATCAATCCCACTGAAATCAGGGACAAGACAAGGCTGCCCACTCTCTCAATATCTCTTCAACATAGTACTTGAAGTCCTAGCTAGAGCAATAAGACAAGTAAAGGAGATCAAGGGGATACAAATTGGAAGGGAAGAAGTCTAAGTATTTGACTATTTGCAGATGATATGATAGTATACATGAGCGACCCCAAAAATTCTACCAGGGAACTCCTTCAGCTGATAAACACCTTCAGCAAAGTGGCTGGATACAAAATTAACTCAGAAAAATCAGTAGCCCTCCTGTATACCAAAGGCAAAAGGGCTGAGAAAGAAATTATGGAAACTATACCCTTCACAATAGCCACGAATAACATAAAGTACCTTGGGGTGACTCTAACCAAGCAAGTGAAAGACCTTTTTGAAAAAAACTTCAAGTCTCTGAAGAAAGAAATTGAAGAAGATATCAGAAGATGGAAAGATCTCTCATGCTCATGGATCAGTAGGATTAACATAGCGAAAAATGGCCATCCTGCCAAAAGCAATCTACAAATTCAATGCAGTTCTCATCAAAATACCAAGAGAATTCTTTACAGACCTTGAAAGAACAATTCTCAACTTCATATGGAAAACCAAAAAAGCCAGAATTGCTGAAACAATCCTGTAAAACAACAGATCTCTTGGAAGTATCTCCATCCCTGATCTTAAGCTGTACTACAAAGCAATTAGTAATAAAAACTGCATGGTACTGGC